AGAAACCTTCCATATAGTGTTATACTGATTCCTATGACGGCGAGATCAGCCATGGTTTTTAAGGGGCGAAGCTCCTAAAGGCTTTGGTCTGTCCATCACTTGCATGTATGTACGTGACCGCCTTTAGTTCCACCTATGCCAACTGCCCACTACTTCATCCTTGCAAACATCCCACTACGCCCAATTACCGATCCACCATTTCACCGACCATAAAGCAAATACTGTTGAGAAGTAGCCAATATGAAATGCAAGATGGTTGTGTACTTGTATGTGCACGTTAAAGAACCACAGATTGCCCCACATTGTGCCCATATCTTGTTTGTACGTGACCGTCTATAGTACCACCTTTGCAAAGTGCCGATTACTTCGTCCTTGCAAACATCCCACTACGCTCCATCACCGATCCACCACTTCACCAACCATACAGCCGTTATACTGAAGGGAGAACGAAGGTGACGTAGAGCTATCACTTCTGATTAATAAAGTTTTTGGTATATACAGTGATTGTCACGTCTTTTGTGATGTAGTGGGCGATATTCGCGGACTGTTCACGGTTTTGCGAAGAAACCCTCCAGCACTTCGCCCCACTCATCATTATTCACTCCGTAGATATGCAGTGATTTTTTTAACATTCTTCTGGTAAATGTATATCCGAACGAGAGTATCTTTTTTTCTTTTTTAGGAAATGAAAAAAAGCGCGAATCTTCAGACAATTTCACTCGTACACAGAATTTCCGATAAACTCTATCAGCACGCTCACTTGTACTGCGTCCTTGTGACTATTTCTGGAAAATTTCCGCAATAATATGAGCCCAATTGAAGGAAGAAATATGAAGGACCCTTCCACTATTCTGAAGATGGACACCAGATGCTCCGACTGTCGTGAGTTTTCTATAGCGAATATTGGACTGGGTTGAATGGTACATAAATATGAGATAAATAATGATACACATATAAGCACCACCAGAAAATAAACGATGCGCAGGAAAAGAGCTTATCTTCGTCGCATGGCTTATTGGAAGCTTGACTGATACAAACAATACTCGCACCTCTATAGGGGCACCAGGTCATTTTTAATGCAGAAGGCCAAACATCTTGCACAACACGAAGCAGGGGCAATATATGTGTGACTTGTAGCCCCGACGCCATGCTAGAAAAAATGTGACGAAAATCTGGGCACTATCAAAGAAATGTAGGTAAGAGTTAATTGTCACTGGACTGGTTGGTACATAACTTTGAAGGAAAAGAAAGAGGACGCTTGTCCTTCACCTTCAAAAGTAGAACACGATAAACCCCCGCCGCGGTGGTCTAGTGGCTAATGTACTCGGCTGCTTACCTACAGGTCGCGGCATCGAATCTCAGCTGCGGTGGCTGCATTTTCGATGGAGGCGGAAATGCTGTCGGCCTATGTGCTCAGATTTGTGTGCACGTTAAAGAACCACAGGTGGTCAAATTTTCTTCGATGTTAGTAACTATATAGTAAAGCTTCTAGAAGAAATACAGCTATTTTTGCCAAAAATATGGCAATTTTTTGATCTGGTCAGTGACGATTTCCGTATGTGCAACATCGTACCTTAACAGACGAGCTTTTGTCGAACTGTTGACTATATTTAGACATGTATCTTAAGGTCAGTTTCTGAAAATCAATAAGCAAACATGAATTCGAAGCAGTTGTTGTTATTGTTGTTGTTGTTGTTGTTGTTGCTGCTGCTGCTGTTGTTGTAGTTGTTGTTGTTGTTGATGATGATGATGATGATGATGATGATGACGACGACGACAACGGCAACCTCATATGACTGGCACACACCCACAAAGCGGGATGGGGCAAGAACCAGGTGGCAGGATGCTTAGAGTAACGGAACTAAAAAGAAACTTTTAAAATTTCTTAGCCATATCTATCTATCTACTATCTATTCATCTAGCCGCTTACCTTTGGGTGCTCTCATGATAATTAGCATGGGAGGGTAAGATGGTTTGACGAATATGACGTGCTGGTCAAAACAATAATAATGTCACATTCCCGTCGCGTGCGTAGTCAAACACTTCCCGCCAGACAGTGGCACATACCCACGAGCGAGTATGTGACAGTGATATGCTTGTATGTACCACAGGTGATCGACACTTAGTATCTACCGAGGAGCGACGAGAACAAACCTGGGCAATTTTGACGTGCCAGCGTCAAGAATGCAAAGAATAAATTTCAGGGTCCCAGCTCGAATCGAACCCAAGCATTTTGCGTGGCAAGGAAGCATTCTACCACAGAGCTACGCCACATCTTGGAACTACTTTTCAAATACATGCTAATCTTCGTGAAACATTAATAGTGGTTGCAGCGCTGCCTATACAATTTCATAAACATATCATATGTACTCCTTTGATACAGCCGTCACGTCGGGTTAACGTCGGTTGTGGTTAAGTACCATGCACCGAAGTTGACTTAGGTAGCAGTGTCCAGGGCCAGCATCCTCGCGAGCATCAGCCCATCATATGTCAGCTTCTTGTGTTCCTAATACGCATGTTCCTGTTTGTATCGTTGCGCAAGTGCAAACAACTGGTAATATAAACATCTGCAACTTTTTCACATATGTCTGTGAGTGCGACGTTTGTACATATATTTAGCGTAATTTCATGGCGTGTCGTTCAATAAAAAAAATTGCTCACCTTCCCTCGGCATGCTTCTCATAACGTCGATTCCCAAGGTACGTTGTATCTGCCGAACTTTTTAAGCAATACACTACAACTTCTACCACTCTTTTGTTACACTTGATTAACAACATGGTGTCTGTAATAAGAGGCATTAACCCCCCCCCCCCCCCCAAAAAAAATGTCATTGCCATTGCATATAGAGCACAAAAAAACACTCGACCACATCTGCCGGCCCGACCCCCACTTCACACCAGGGTAGTGCCCCCCCCCCTCCTCCGAAAGAAAATTCTGTCTACGCCACTGTTTCAAATTCATCGCAGCCTAAATTCTTTGATTATGTAAAATGTGCGATGTTGGGTGTGGATGTTCTCTTACTGAACGTTACATTTGATTATTCTGAACGCTGCGTAATTGTTAAAGAAGCAGAAGAAGAAGAAGTTGGCACCATTGTCGAGGCTTGAACAGCGGCGCTCTACGTATAGGCAGTTTTACTTCAATATTTAACCGCAGTTATGAGCCGACGAGGAGTGCGTCACCAGGCTAGACTCAGAGAGCCGAAACAAAGTAAGAGCACAGCAATAAGTTCGTTGTTGGACTCTTTTCATTCTACAGAGTCTAAACCACCACCCAAGTCAACGGCGCCAGAGCAAGTCCGCGCAAGAAGCGACAAGATCCCTGAGTCCGGGTATGCGACGCCATCTGAAGGTCTTATGTTCTCGACAACTCGCTTGACGGCCGCTAGAACAACACCCAGCGTGCCTAGAGACGTTTGCTCACCGCAGAACTTCTGCCTGTCAAGTCGAGATGGCAACCTTGTCATCCACGCGACTCGGAAGCCTGTGCTGAACACCAGAGACGTTCACTCCTTTAATTACGAGACAGCGCCAGCAGTGACAGGCACGCAGGCTACAAGCAGAGAGCTGCCGAACCGGGAAGACATAGAACAGTTATCCGAAGATGATGATCTTAGAGAGCTTCCCGCTGCCACATCTGATATGACCGAAGCAATATCTAAGCTTGTGGCACAATTCTTAGGTACGGGAGATCAAGGCTCGATGACGAAACAAAACGTCGGGAGTGCCGCGGTTGTTCTGCCTTCGGAGACCAAGAATGAATCTCCTGATGATCGACAACCTGTCCAAGCAGTAGTGGTACCACCTGTCGCGACATCTACTCGATCCGCGCGGCGATCCACGGCGGCGACAAGACGGAAGAACCAATCATTAGCTGCTAATAGCATTGCAGACATAGACCTCAGGGTAGTCAGCAGAGAAGGAGAACCTGATTACAAAGAATACCTCGTGGCGTTCCTTCTGCTTGGCGTTTTCGTAGTGCTTCTGTTCATTGTTTTCTACCTTTTGGCATCCACCCATGGTGGAAACAAAGCTAGCTCGCATAACTCACTTGTCTGTGTCTCCGACTATTGCGTAAAAGACTCTGAATACCTCGGCCAGCTGCTTTCTTGGGAAGACGATTCCCCCTGTGGCAACTTCTACATGTTCGTGTGCCGCCGGTGGAAGAGTCAGTACCTGGAGGTGCCTCCTTCGTCCTTTGTCACCCAAGACGATGACATCGTCGCAAGTCTCGAACGTAGTGTGTATGCTATGTTGCAAAACAAGGCGGGAAATTTGAAAAGCGTTACATGGCTGAGAGATCTGATGGATAAGTGCATGGACGAGAAGCAAATAGAAGGTGACGGTTGGGACTCATTGCTAGAATTAATGTCAGACGCGTCGGTTGGACCATTTCCCGTGACGCCACCAGTTCGAAGGAGCCTGTCAGTGTGGAAGTCTGCGGGACGGCTTCTGAGGAAGACAGGAACCACCGCTTTATTCGCTATAACCGTCGGCGCTGTTCCATCGGGTTCGCCAAATAGTATCCTAGCGGTAGGCCCTCCAGAAATGCCTCGGCACGGTGTTATGAGTACCAACAGTGTCGTCAAACTATACACAAACGCCATATTTTCTGCAGTCAAGGCTTTGAAAAAAAGATTCGTTCCAGTTGAGAACCTGTTAGAAATCGCGAGATTTGCTGCCAGTTATGAGAACGCCATTAGTCGCAGCGCAGTAAGTGTGGCAATAATCATGTCCACAACGAACTCCTCATCGCCCATTGCCCAGTTTCTGTCCAGTGTCTTTTACGATCGTTGGCCCGAATATACAGACAAACTGGCCTCGGACGTATTGGTATTGTCGCCGAATATTATAAGACGGATTATTGAACTCGTTGAAAGCACCGAACTACACACGGCCATAAACTATCTCGCACTACGATTCATGATACAGGTATCGGCGTTCATTCCTAACACAGGCCTGGCGCAGGTGTTCTACACTTTTCTTACCGCCCGGCCTACGATGACATCACCCCGTTGGAAAATCTGTCTTCGAGCTGTGGAAGAAGCGCTAGCTCCCCTCATGTACGCTTCGTATTTTACGTACCAGAACCTGCACGCGTCATCGTCACAGTTTGCTGATTTCGTCGGCGAAGCAGTGCAGGAGTTTCTCCGCGGCGTGGATGATTCGTCGTACTTCACTGCGTTCTCTAAGGCAGCTTTCCGAGACGTATTGAGCAAGACGCATTTTAGAGTACTCGGACCCCCGTGGGTGAGTGAAAGCGCTGCTATGGAAGCCTACATTCAAACTCTACCGGCCATACGTCCAGCACACACGGCTCTGCAGTCATACACGGGCGTATACGAAGCCAGCTTTCTCTACTCCCTGTCTCGTGGCTTTTCGCAGCAATGGACGCGGTCTATCTTCGCGACCGATTGCTGGCACGAGCTGAACCCTCGCACTCTGTACGTTCCGCTGCTGACATTCAACGCGACTCTTTGGTCCCACCCTGATACCCAGTCTCTGCAAGTCTCCCGGGCCGGCTTTCGTGTGCAAGAGTGCATTCTGGAGATGCTCTTAGGACATACCGCCTTCGTGAACGACCATCTGCAGTGGTGGCTGGACGAAGCGACCAAGCATAAGATAGAAAGTAGTGAGGCTTGCCTCAATAGAATTGCAGGGCGAGGCAACATAAGGGAGCCTCTCGCCATTGTCAAGCGTAGCTTGTCGGTTCGTCTTGCGTACGAACAGTTTCAGAGAAGCGTGAATGCGTCCGGAAGCAAGCTTAGGCTTAGCCTTCCCAACGGCAAACTGCTTACCGACAAGCAACTTTTCTTCGTCCTGCTGGTGCTGCAGTCCTGCGAAAGCAGGCCCGCTGAAGACGCCGCTCCAAGCTCGGAACTCGAGTGGAACACCGCACTTGGAAACGATCCCGAACTGTCAGTGGCATTCGGTTGTCCCCGTGGTTCCACGATGAACCCGGCGAGGAAGTGCGGGGTATAAGTGGCCAATGACTTTGTGATTCGCGAATGCATTAAAGGTTCAGCACCTGAGTACTTTTAAATGAGGATCAATTCTTTGTCGCGCGATTTCGCGCTTAGATGTCGGCGGTTATCCTCAACACTTTTACAGTGCATCATAGAGTTTCATACAATAATTGTATAAAACTCTATTATGTGCATGATGGAGTCTCGTGCCGGCCCAGGAAGACACCCTCAAAACTGTCGCTACCTTTCCCTCTCTCACCTCGCAAGGCCGACACAGGCAGCATCTCCTAATAAAAAAAATTCCGGGGTGGAGCTCGAGTAAATGCGTCGCAGAGTGGGAGGGGAGGGGTATCGCGTGAATTTTCGGGAATGCTTAATTGTTATTTCGTCTTTATTTTATTTTGTTCTTATTTATTGAATCAAGTAGAACCGTTCTTTTGCACGTCCAGCGAAAGCCAATTAGAGGTGACCTTGACTGAATAGGTGGATAGCAAGACGGCGCGTAGTCTGCTACGGATACTTCTGGTTCGAGGCCCATCCCTTTGCGGCTTCAACGCGCCTGCTGCGCAGTGTAATCGAGGAGAAAAAACACGCGATTTGTGACGCGTTAGTGTCAGCTTGTTCAGTGATTGTGTTCGTCAATCCTTTTGCGAATCAATAGATGATATTTAACGCATTTCAGAGAATGAAGCGAGTAGTGGAAATGGGCAAACGCGAAGAACGGTAAGAGGCGAGTTTAAAGCGCAACATGCGGTTATACTTTGAAAGATGCGGTAATATTTTGCAGATCCACCTCGATTTGGTATTTTTCAACCACAAACGCTGACCACTTCAAAATAACTCCCATGTATGGCCACCTGGTGACAAATGTTAAGATACGTAGGATGACAACATAAGTACGCGTACTCTGCTCGATCAAGTACGAGGATATAGTTTGTTTGCATTGCATATTCTGCATCACCAACTGTCCGTAATATTTATGGAAACAACTGAGCGCGTAAAAGGCCCACGGGACAAAACTACCGCTCTATTAATGGTATCGTGAGACGTATAAAACGATAGAAGTCGCTTTTGAAGCAACGAGTAGCATAGAATGGCGTCTCTATTATGTCAGGCTTGCAACCTCGAAGTGCCGATTGGTTGTGTTATGTATGTTGATTGCAGATATTTCACATGCATTGCATTGAAACACAATGTTCGAGTGCGCGACAGAACGACATTTCATGTTAACGAAGATGAAAAGGCGTCGGCGATTACGGATATATGGAATGAAGCAGATAGTTTCAGCGACAACAATAAATAAATGAATGAATAAAGGAAGCGATTGGGAAACAAGTAATTTAGGAGTAATAATTGGTTTTACAGTCTGAATCATCTTCCTAGCTTTCTTTTTTTTTTCATGTGCATGCACTTAGAGATTCGTCTCACGGTCGTATGGACTTGACACGTCGAGCGGGGAACACATCTTCGCCCTTTGTTCAATTGAGTTAAAGCCAGGTTATGTACTGCCTGGTCGCCCGCTCGAAGTATGACCACCAAGCAGTACATAACACTCAAGGGGCAGTCACGGAAACATAGTATATGTGCCGCCACTGACATCATCCCAGCACTCTTGTTTAATAAAATTATGTCAAGAAATAAAATTTGCACTCAAACCTTGCTAAGAAAGTATATACGTCAGTTCACATTCTCTTGGGCTACTGTTCACTCGGGTTCGGTATCGCACGGGACTGCTTTCAATGACTCGGCTAATCACGAAGTCATCACAAACGGTTCATGGCTGTTACGTACTGTCCCGGCAAGGATAGAAGACTTGACCTCGCGGTATAGGCTACTCTCGTCGTGGGACTAGTGATGCTAGTGCATTCGCGCTATATATAGAATAGACAAAGTTTTGAAAAAGTATGTGGGAAAAATAAAACTTTACAGAGTTCAAAAAAGCACGAACAATTTGTAGCCGATCGTTGCAGATTAGATTTTGTCGCCCTAACTTGAAAAAATAGACGTAGTCACGGAAAATAGCGTCAAGGTTCACACGAAGTGTTCGCATTCGCGAGCCCCATCGCAGAGCCGACAAGTGCACGTTCAACCAACGCACCCTTGCTTCGTGCTCATAGGCGACCCAGTTGTGCAATTGAACGCTTTGCTAAAGTCGCCGCTATCGCGAAGCGCGATACTCCAGTCGTCAACGCCTGCCGGCCAAGAGTGCTCAGGTCCGTCAACCGCTTCACAAGACTGTAGCATAAGGTAGACGAAAAACACTTGGGTGCTGGTCATGACGCGGCCGTTCATCAGCGATGTCACGAGGTCCTGCTTGGCAGCGTCGCTTTTCCGAAAAAGTCGGAGGGCAACGCGCGCGGCGAGAACGTCGCGGAGCCGCCGCAAGCCCTCACTGTTCGCGCGACCCCGCAGGCACTTCTCGGCATCAGCCAGCCTCGACTGGGACGTTTCTGTGAGCCAACGAACGGTGCCATTCGTCGAGTTGCTCTCCTCCATAAGCATATCCAGCAAGCATCTGCTCAGTCGCGGGGCCAAGCGCGACAGCTGCACGTAGTCATCGTCGCTCCCTTGAAACGCCTGCGTCACGTTGAAGGCGACTAGAGGGACGTAGATGGTCCTCGGGTATGATTCGTACCAGCAAGTAGCGCTGAAGATGGAACGGCTCCATCGTGTGCGCGTTCCCCTGCTCAAGGTATCGAAGAATGTGTGCTGGAAGAATGCCAGGTACGTCTCCAGCCCGCGCCGCGTCGCCTTCAAAGCAGGAAGACCATCGATGTAGTTCGCTATAGACGCAGTGTCGTTGATCCAGCTAGGGCTGACGATATTTACTGCGACTTTCGACAGGATGCGATGAATCGCAGCCTTGGAACTGTCGTCTAATAATGACGAAGCGTCTACTTCCGCAATAAATGCCACGATGGCTTTGTTGACGACTTCGACAATGGATGGCATGGATGCTTTAAGCCGGGTGTCGTGGAATAAGACGCGGTGAACAAGCGGGTACAGGGCTTTTTCCGTAGCACGCACGCACAGCTGCCAACGAGGCAGATCCATTTGGTGCTTGCCAAAGACCATTGTAGTGTAGAAGTTGGTCAGTCCAGCTTCCGGTATAAATGGAGCGATTTGGATCATCAACCGAACTCCCAAGTAATTCATGACGGTGTGAGGTTCAGTGTTTGCAACCATGTCTGTGACGTCACTGACGAATTCGGGTAAATGGATTGCGATGTATGACCTCGCACCGGTAAAAATGGACTTCTCGCGTCCTCGAAATACTGCAGTCAGAAATTCAAACATATCCGACCGTGAGTCCAGGATATCGATCTTTGAAGCATCTGTGTTCATCCTGGACTGCCCCAGTTTCTCAAAGTCGCTGGCGAATTTCACTATGGCAAGGATCTCCACGGGAGGTACGTAGTCCTTCTTGAGCGCCTTGATTGCAGCGAAGACGGCAGCTGTGTACAACCTGATCGCTTCGTTGGCGTCCACGTTCGCTGCAGTCGTCAGAAGCTCGGGAGGTCCTACCGAGACGATGTTTGTCTTAGGAGATGCAGCATGAGACGCGACGCCTACGCTGAGCAACGCAGCGGAACCTGACATGCGCAATATATTCGCGGCTGTCGACCACACAGATAGGCTGTCCCGCACCGGTGGCGTCAGCGGGAAGCCGTCCAGAGACAGATCTGACATCAGCTCGAGAAATGCGTTCCAGCCCCCATCCTCGATTAACTTGACATTCATACACTTGTCGTGGAGATATCTTAGTGGCCGCAGTATCTTCGAGCTTCCGGAGTCATTGCGAATCGATATGTAGAGTACGTCCTCGAGGAAGGCGGCGTAATCATCGTCCGTCGAAACCGATGTGTCCTTCAAAGGCGTAGCGAAGCGGCTTTTCCAGCGCCGGCAAACGAACGCGTAGAAATCGTTACATGGGTTGACGTCCCGCCAGGACAGCAGGTTGCTGAGATATACGGCGTTTTGTACGCAGCTGGCGGAGCTGCAGCTCACGCTGTGCCGACCGAGCGCACTATCTTCGTCTCGAGTTGGATGCTTACTTGACGGCCAGAAGAGAAAGCCGAGGAACAACACCAGCGCGATAGCCAGGCATATAGCCATCGGATACAGGTAGCGTTCTGAGGGCGCTGGTTGGTTCACTCTAGGAAAGCCTGGCTCGGTGATCGCATGATTGTCTCTGTGTGCCATGTCTGGCAGCGCAGGCGGCATCGTACTCTTGTGGCTGTGCGAGCTCCTTGCAGTCGACGCACGCGATGCTCTTCGACCTAATAGGCTTGATTCTTTGTTCGACTCCGACTTGGCGCTCACACCGAAGCGGGCAGTTGATTGAACGTGTTCTGCGTCACCCTCCGGTGATGCCTTGCTTCCCTTATGATGATGTTTTGAGGAGAGCTTCTTGTTAGAATGATGATTTTCGTGCAGCAGCTCATTCGAGCCAGTCCTCCCGGCTGTGATTTTGCTTACATTGTTGTCTGTCTTGCTCACCCCTTCTCCTGTCCAATGTACACGGTCAGCGCTCAGCGTTGCCGCAGGCAGGTCATCGAGAACCAACTTCGACTTGACAGTGTTTGGTGAACCCTTGTCGGGAATAAAGATCGACGCAGCCGAAATTCTTCTTTTCGTAGAAGTAGCAGCTGCCGGTGCATTGTAATGTAGATCAGACCTAGGTATTTTAGTTACAGAAAACGTACTACTTTTACCAAAAGGAATATGCGCCGAAGATGGTGACGGCATCATGTTCGAAGTTTGAGAGGGTGTCCTCTGGTTGCTGCTCTCCCTACATAATCGTTCTTGAACATCCATTCCTGACCTCACTTCGCATTTCTTCACGGCGTTCTCAGACACACTTTCTCTAACTGACTTAGGATGAAAGCTCACGCTTAATTGTCTTGTAGAATCAACTGATAAATCATCCAATCGCCCACTTTTTAACGCTGCCTCGGTAAGCTGATTGTGTCTTTCAGCATGGGAAACTTCATCGGTATCATTAGGCTTAAAAGAACTATGAGGCCCGTGTTCCTCCACCGTGGAGCTTTTCACTTCGCATTTCTCCACGGTGTTCTCATACATATTTTCTCTAACTGACTGAGGATCAAAGCTCACGCTTAATTGTCTTGTAGAATCAACTGATAAATCATCCAATCGCCCGCCTTTTAACGCTGCCTCGGTAAGCCGATGGTGCCTTTCAGCATGGGAAACTTCATCGTCATCATAAGGCTTAAAAGAACTATGCGGCCCGTGTTCCTCCACCGTGGAGCTTTTCTCCGCATTCGTTGCGCTCGTCGCTTCTTGGCTGGATAAAAGGGTCGAATCAGTCGACGTGTCACGATCACCTCCTTTTTGGCTTTTGGTCCTGATAGGACTCTCAAAAGCAAAAACACGAGCACCCGTTTTGTTTCTCACCAATCTGTCTTCGCCTTCAGTGCCTGGGATTTCTTCGGTCTTATGTGCTGTCGACAGGTTTTCGTTTGTGTCGAATGTGAATAAGTGACTCGCTACTGCGTCCTGTCTCGGAACTTTACGCGGCTGTGCCGGACCAGAGCATTCGCCTCTGATTCCCAAGTTGTCTCCCACACGGGCCGCGGACTTGAATTCCAACTGTTTCTCTTTCACGGTATTAATTCGGACTTTATCCGCCGATGGCGCTGCAGCTGCGTTTTTTCCATTCGCTGAAGTCTGTCCATTAGACGTCCCTGGCTCGGTGCTAAAACTTGAAGGTTCGCTTCCTGAGGGACCCTCGCTTTTCCTTTGTGGCATAGCTTGCGTTCTGCTCTCGGGGGTGGTCGAACTGCCAGAGGCCAAGGAACCAGCATTCTCTCCGACCGATGATTTCATCGCAGCTGAAACATTTTCTTCAGTAGGCTTTGGGAAACTACGGTTCACCTCTTTGTTCTGTGGTGCACCTGAACCAAGCTGACCACGGCTTGCTTCAACGTCTGGCTTGCGGGAGCCCGGCTCTGCTTTACCGTTCCCGCCTTTCGGTCTGGCCTTTTGTTCCATAGCGCCCCGATTCTCCTCGGTCTTCGATGAGGTGCCTGCGCTCTTTTGTTCCACGGAACAGGATTAAGTCCAGAAGCGGATTGCGGCAAACTCGATGTAGTTCCCCCGCTGGCAGAATTAGATGCTTCGCGTACTTGCGCGGCGTGGCTCCCAGGTGTCGCGCTGGACGCCGTCTCGTGTCGAGCTTCGCTGTGTGCGGCCAACGAATTCACTCCGGGCGTGCCATGTTCAGGGTCGGCCTTTGAACTTGTCTTCGTCAGTACTGGATGATGCTTACTCGGTAGTGCTGCTCATGGCGTGAAGGCCGTTCCAGCAGTAGCGTCAAAGTGGCAGCCTGTTGCAAAAGCGATTGGCTTGATCGTCTCTTGGATATGTGATGCAGCTGCCCTCAGTAGCGCGTTCACCGCGAGACAAAGCATGCCTCGCGCTGATGATGACGATGATTATGATGAATCCACAAACATGGCTCATACCCACTCAGAGAGATTAGCCAATAATTGATTTTGTAATTTAAATATACTTTTTTTTCTTATTCAATGCCACGTCAACAAAACATCCTCAGTGACCGCAAACTAGCATTGTTTCAGTAATGCAGTTTCGAAAATACTACAATAATGAACTGTGAGTGTTCGGTGTAAAGAGATTCGTTGCGCACAACCATTCGCTCTCTGTCGTTTCATTTAGCCATAGTTCGGTGCTAGCTGGTAACGAAATTTTCGTTCTTTCAAGTTTGCCTTCGACTTAGCTACTAGGCATACGACCCACACGTTAAACCCTCCGTAGGCTCGTTCTGGCACCTCTATTGTCTCTGTTGCCAACTCCTTGCCAGATTGGTATTGAGCTGAAATGAATTAATTCTACAAGTCGGTTGCGACGATGAACAGTCAATGAAAGCTGCAATTCCTAACGGGAGGTTACAGTGCCTACTTTATGCATATAGCAGCTTTGCTGAGGGCAAATGTAAGAACCTACTTCTTAATACACAATATCGGCTTACTTGCTGTTGCGTTACGGGTGGAGTACGCATAGCAGTGCAAGAGAAGTTGTCGTAGTGCACTTATGCAATAAAACAGTATGTAAGGAGACAGGCAAAAATTACTTGCATATAAAAGGCATTACATTAATTTATGCGACTCATATGAAACGATATTTGCATATAGTATCTACCGAACGGTGTTTACGCTTGACCTCATAGGCGTGAAAGTTTTTTTTTTTTTTGAAGAGCAACAAGTCCTTTGTGGTAGCAAGAAAAAAAAAGCTTTTTCTCTGGTTTACTTGCTTATCATATATCAGCCAAACTAATCAACGAACCTCAAACAGCAATTGCGCAAGCAATATCTTCACTTCTGTGCACAATTTCTGCATTGTTGAATCCGTTGTGCGCATGTGCGCTGAGTTCGGTGCGAAAAAATTTCTTTCATAAGCGAAAACACGATCCAAACGACAAGCATTGAACTGTTCCCCGTTTCTGAGCCAGAAAGCAGCTGTGTAATTGACTCCCACCTTTAATTAAAATGCTCTCTTTAGATAAACCATACCGATCAATGCTTGCAATTCACGGATGCCCCAGTCTTCCTTCATTTTTTTTTTGTCGTTTTGAGTGGAGCAAAGACACTGAACGTGTTGAATTGAGCGACACACCGAACGTAGGCTCACGTAGATGTTCATAACTATGCAAATGAACCAAGAAGCCCGGCTCAAGAGATTCATCTTCTACCTACGCAAGTTCAAGTGAAAATTCTAACAGGGATGATCAGACCCGCCCGAAAGCGACGCTTGAACAAATGGCTTCTCGCGCCAAAATTCAAAAACGGTTCTCGAATGAGAAGCCTTAGATAAAAGCTTGATTTCGTGAAGAATAGCACAGGAACGATTTCGTATACCATACAGAAACCAAGCGAACAAGTCTCCTTCTATCAGCGTTCCTAGGTATACATCACTCGTAACGATCAATAAGCCATAGGATTTCTTCTCGGAACAACGCTTCAGATTTCAAATACCCCCAAAACACGCATTCAACGAGAACTCTGTCAGTGTTTGCTGAGCAGGGTGCTTTACTGATAGCGGAGTGCATCTCACAGAGTTTTGAATCATTTCGCGGTGTCGCATTTGCATTTAGCTTCTTTTTCATGAAGCGTTTTAAAGTTTTGTTCGAAGTAGCTTTAATGAACCATGCCCACGCAGAAGAAAACACGTGCTCGATGACAGAGTGACACCTTTAGTTCACGCGAGTATAATGAAATCCTTTTGACACGTCTAAGACTTCTAGAAGTTATATCAACAATAGCAGCCATGAAGAATTCGCATATGGCAATAATACATCCACAACGGTAACGTGCTTCGAAGTAAACGTGTTCTTTCTGCCTCCACGCAATGCTTTTTTTTAATGTCATGCGCCACAATACGATGACAAAGCGAATAATTTTTGCTAGTTAAGCCGCTCCATAACATAACCAACGAGGCAAGTTCGCGCGTTTTACAGCTGCTGCTAATTTTTTTGCGACGGTCTTCGTAAACAGAAAAATGTAGACATAAAAATTGGCCCCGTATCTGCATGTTTCACTGCAAACATCGTCAGAAGACGATAGTCCTGCGTGTGTAGAGAGTTGACAAAACGCTAGTTTGATGTTCTGCGCGAGAAAATCGGTGAATTGCATTCTGGAAGCACTGCGTTAGAGAGTCTCGATTCATGCAGCGAAGGTGAACGAGTATATTTAGGCACGTTATACACGAGCGCTATCTGGCAGTTATCTTAGAAAACGAAGGAAGACGTGCGCACGCACGAAGAAAGATGCGCGCCTGTCTCGGAGGCAATAAGGTGTAGAACGCAAAGCGACGGGTAGGTTCATCACTCTGTCGCCTTAGCAAAGCGTGTTTCCAACTCGATGCCAGCGCAACGCGATGCTCAAAAACTTGCCTTTTTGAGCTTCGCGTTGCACTGTCAGCGCAGCGTGATTAGCACTATACGGCCCTTAGATTTATTTATGTGTGCCTTCTCCAATATAAAGACACATATACAAAATATTGACGTGTTGCTGTGTTGCCTCAGATATGTACAATAATTGCTTTTTAATTGACAATCGCACAAGTATGAACGCTGAAACTTGAGCAATATTGGTGGGCGCTGCGGATGGAGTTGGCCGTTAGGGGCATCGCTTGGTGCCATTTAGGGTATCGTTGCGGTGGACAAACAAACAAATGGACAGACA